TTATTTAAATATTTAATTAATGTTTTAAATGGCTATCTAAGTAAGTTCCTTTAAGGCAGAAATTACGACATACTTTTCAGAGTCCTCTATTATCAAATAATGTTGTTACTATATTTTAAGTATTTGGGGAGGAGGGCAGAGGAGACTAGCTTTTAAAACATATATTTTATACTTTTGTATAACAAGTTCATAAAAATGGAGAAAAATAATGCAATTACATTCTGTTTTAAATAAAGAATCAATACAATTTTTAGCTTTATATAGCAATTAAAGTAAAAATGTCAAATCAAACTTCTTACTAATTCTTCTTATTTATTGAACATTTATTGTCCAGCAGAGGCTACGGTGGCCCTTGGCAGACATCATTAAACAATCCTTACAACCATTCCAGAAGTTACAGATTATTATGCTAATTTGACAGCTGAGAAAACTAAAGTTCAGAGATAGTAAATAACTTGCTCAAGCAAACAGTATCATATATAATTTAAATGATATAGAAAATTTTAATTAGAATACAACATAATGAGATTTTACTTTCAGGAAAAAATAATGTGCAGAAATAGCATTAAGAACTTTACCAGCAGGAGCTGTTATCTTTTTTATATGGTCTTGTAAAAAAGATATATTTGAATAAACTTGTTTATAACCAACTACTTCCAATAACTGGCAAGCCAGATTGAAAAAAAATACAAGGAAACAAAATAAGAATTAGAAAAAATGAGTATTATGATAAAAGAAGAAAAATCTTATTTAAAAACGTTAAAATATTAAAAAAACCCAAAGATTACAGAGGAATTACTAGAAATAATAAAAGTTTAAAGATAATAGACTGTAAGTTCTATATATATATGAAAATTGCTATATTTCTACATACAGGACAAAAAATTAAAAAGTATAACTTAAAAGAAAGGTCGTAGTGAACAATTCCCCACAAACACACTTTCCTTCCTCCTTCTCTCTTTCTCCTGCATACATGCAGAATCTCTCTCTCTCTCTCTCTCCCTCTCTCTCTCTCTCTCTCTCTCTCTCTCTCTCTCTCTCACACACACACACACACACACACACACACTATTAGGTAACTAAAAAGAAATTAAAGAAGTAGTTTGAAAAAAATTTTTGTTTATATTCTTAATTTTTAGGAGAGATAGGATTAATTGAACAAGATACCAAAAGCATTAACCACAAAGACTGACACTAAGGTGTTATACCCACAGTGAATGTATACACTATGTACTGCAAACATGTACTAATAAAATTCTTAATTGAGAAACATAAATTAAGTCCTTTTTCTAAAAACAAAGTACTATTATGGAAGTTAAAAAAAATTCTTACATGAATCTTATAGTGACAAATTTGGAAAATCTATGATAACTGTTGATGAAATTGTTTTTCCAAAAATAATTTTTACACAAACTAGCAAGGAAAAGCCTAAACATAAAATTCAGGACAAATATGATTAAAATTAAGCAAATATGTATATCTAACAATAGTTTTTATCTCTTCATTTTAACGGCACACATAAATCTTATGCCAGATGGAGGTCAATAATGTAAATATATATGTTTTTAAAAATCAATAAACACAAATACTTTAACCAGAGCCAATATCTCAAACAAATCATGGGATTTTTTTTAATGATGTTTTAAACAGTGAAGATGGTAAGAAATCCTAGTCATAATAATCTCATTAACATTAACATGCTCAATACCATTCAATCTTGCTAGGTACCAGGTTTGTGGAATATACAAATAGTGAAGACAGAATCCTTGCTCCTTAGGCCTATGATCTACTTAGCAAACAGTAAAATATACACCTATGTAGGTAAGTCATATTTCCATTTAAATCTCAAATCAATCTGTTTTTCTCTACCTCTTATCACTAAGCTATATGCATACTTCCTGGACCTCTGTAACATTTCCTAATGATCTCTTGCATTCAATTTTCATTCTACCTGCAATCTATTCACTATACCACAGCGATACTAACTTGTTTGATAATCAAGAGGATGATGCATTCTTTTGAAAAACTGACTTTAGATTCAGAAACTCCATGCATAAAGCTAAAAGCCGGAATTTATGTGAAAGCCTGACCTGAATAATGAAAGCCTAGCTGCCTCATCTAACCTGACTCTGTAGCTCTATAAAATAAGGACGTGCCAGCCCGAAGGAGAGAATGAGGATTCACTGTTAGAAAACTCAACCACACCAACTTCAAGATAGTGATGTTTTTGGATTCTCCTACGAAAAATGCCAGCTTGCCAAACTACCTTTAAGTGACATCTACTAGGAGACAGGCAATCAGCTTTTTATTTTTATTTTTATTTTTATTTTTATTTTTTTCTCTGGTACCAGGAACCGAACTCATGACCTTGTGCTTGCCAGGCAGGCGCTTTGCCGCTGAGCTAAATCCCCAGCCCCAATCAGCTTTTTAGTGTGTCAGAAAAATAAGGAAGGCCAGATGTGGTCTTTGAGCCAGTTTTCTGACTGCTATACTGGAAGATTTTTAAAAACAAAAAGAGGAAAGGAAATACAGGCAAATAAATTATCAAAGAAAATTTCCCCAAACTAAAAAATATAAGATTTTAGAACAAAAGGTTCTAAGACAATGCATGTACATCATCATCAAACTTCAGAATACCAGGGACAAACAATCACAAAAAGCTCTTGGGGGAGGGAGGTCCTATGCGAAGACTGCGAAAACAGAAAATCAGATGATATCAGCTTTTTAAAGAGTAACACAAAAGAGCTGGAGAGCCTTCACTATTAAAAGAGAATTCCAAGTAAAATTCTACACCTAGTGAAATTAGCCATCACACATATGAAGGGAGAATGAAGGCAGTTTTAGACATAAAATTACTTAAAAATTAATCTACACACTAACGGATTCTCTAGAAAAATAACAGACTAAATAAAAAATGATGAAGATATGTGGGAAAATAGCAGCCTAACACAGGGGAGTCTACAGGAGGTCCCACAGCAGCTGTGCAGCAAGCCTAGAGTGTGAGGTCACGCTGGAACTAGAGGAAGAAGGGCTTCAGGAGGGAATTTTCTAAATAAAGAATGGAACGGATGTATCTGAGCATATGAAGAATAGCTATGATATGTAACAGAGATAGCTCAGTCAAAAAATAAATCACAAGTACACAGTAAGCCAATCATTTTTTAAAAATGAAGCAGGATACAATACTACACACCTGTAACCCCAGTGCTTGGGAGGCTGAGGCAGGAAAACAGCAAGTTCAAATCCCACCTGAGCAACTTAGCAAAACCCTGTCTCAAAATAAAAATTAAAAAGAGGGAAAGGGACTAGAAATATAGCTCAGTGAAAAGGCTCTGGGTTTAACCCCCAATACCACAAAAAAAAGCGGGGGAAGTAATTATTAACTTCACAAAAAGTAAGGGATTATACTGTACTTCACTGTGTCATTTGGCATAAAACATCTTCATAATCAAAATAATAATGAAACACTGAGTACTAATGGAACCAAAGATTGGAATAGATGTAATTATATAGATGGAAGGGGAGGGGGAAAAGAGAGCAAAGCCAGAAGCTAGCGTTCCACCTGTTTTGGCAAGAAATGGAGACTATTTAACCTGATTAATCAAGAAATATCAGTTTACAAATGATGTTTAGTAATAAAGAAGTAAATACCATGAAAAATGATCAAAATGACTTACAAATTATCCTTCCAAGCAGGACTTGGAGAGAGAGAACAGTAAGATGCTGTAAACTCTCCAGATGTATTTGGTTTTTAAAACTGTAGGAACATATTATTTTAAAAAGTTTAAAAATAATTAAAATTTATTTTTTGGCCAGGAGTGGTGACACCCACCTGTAATCCTAGCACTCAGGAAGCTAAGGCAAAAGGATCATTGCAAATTTGAGACCAGCCTGGGCTACAAAGTGAGCTCAAGGCCAGCTTGAATTGCATAGTGAGACCCTGTCTCAAAAAGACCAAAAAAAAAATTGGGGGGGGCTTTTAAAAACTATGTAAACATATTCTTTTAAAAAGCTAGCTTAAAATAATTAAAATTTATCTTTAAAGGAGCAAATAATTACCAAAGAATATCTATAATACATATAAACAGAAGGTCCATATCTTTCAAATTATAAGGAGCTCATATGAAAGACATAATATAACATATGCAAGGAAAATAAACAGACAACAATTATAAAATATTATTTCCCAGGGCATACGTGAAAAAAACCATTTCACCTTTCAAAGCAGTAAAAAGAAAGTCAACTTAACAAAATAGCATTAAATTAACCTATCAATTAGCACAAATTTGAGAAATGGACAATACCAGTGTACACTTTTGGAAAATGTATGGACCGTGAAAGTATAAACTGATGTTCCATTTCCAGAGGAAAATTTGGTGATATGGAATAAAACCCTTTGAGCATCAACATGAAGCCACAAACAGAAAATTCCACATCTGACCTCATGCAACAAGTTATAGTTAAAACATGGGTGGACTAAAAATATTGTGGAAAATTACCCTCAGCCTATGTATAAAAGTTGAAATGAATTTCATGTATGGACTTGACTCATCCCCATCATAACTCATTATGTATATGCAAATGTCCCCCAAAATTTGAAATCATAAGCACTTTTGGTCACAAGTATTTCAGATAAGGAGCACTCAACTTGTATTATTTTATAAAAGTTTTTGTTTGATTTTGAGACAAGGTCTTACTATGAAGTTCAGGCTAACCCTGAACTTACTATGTAATCCAGGCTGGCCTTGAATTTGAAGCAATTCCTCCTGCTTGCTGGGATTACAGGTATGTGCCCCAACCCCCCAGCTTTCTTTTTTTTTTTTTTTTTTTTTTTTTTGTTTTTTTTTTTTTTGCGGTACCAGGGATCGAACTTACGACCTTGCGCTTACCAGGCAGGTGCTTATGCTACTGAGCTATATACCAGCACCCCCCAGCTTTCAATCTGTATTATTTTAGCAGAATTTTCATATTGATTTACAGAAAGAATATGATAGACTTACCTGAACTGTACGTCCTGCATTGATATGTTCTTCATGCAACTTGTCCCAGATTCTGCAGCGTTGATACTATAAAAAGAGAAAGGGTAAGGCATTGAATTTTTAATCACTAAAGGATAATTTCCAATTACCACAAAAATCTCTACTTACCTACTCAAACTTAAATATATCACCTAGAGAAGACAGTGATTTAATAACAATACTTAACTTTCCGAAGACTATACAAGTAGGAAATTTCCAGTAATACTGCATACAGAATTCTAGAAATCAAAACAAACAAAAGATCACCAGGTGGAGGTTACTCTATTTTACTGAAAACGTGTATGTATTTCATCTATATTATAAACTCTCTGGAAAGGGAAAATATAAAGAACAAGAATGTAAAGTTTAAAAAGATTAACAGTTTCTTATATATTTCTAGTATACATGAAGAATTTTTATTTTTTATTTTTTTTGGTTTTTCTCCGGTACCGGGAACCGAACTCACGACCTTGTGCTTGCCAGGCAGGCACTTTGCCGCTGAGCTAAATCCCCAGCCCCCATGAAGAATTTTTAAATGTTTGTCAGTGGCAGTGTTAAGAGTTGGAAACTAAAATTGGAATAAAAATAAGTATCTTAAAAGCACCCACAGGAAAGAAAGACTTGAAAAGTAGGGAGGAGCAAAGACAAAAATGAAGAAGACAAAACAACATAAACCAGAAGACAATAGAACATTGTCTTGAAAGTACTCGGAAACAACAGACAATTCAACTGAGAATTATATACTCAGAATAATGAAGACAAAATAATGATTTTTTGGAACATAAAAAACCTAACAGGACTCATCACCAGTGGATACATACACTACAAGAAATGTTAAAGGTTTTACCCTTAGGCTGTAACTCCTTGATAGGTCCCTCTTGCATATCTCTGTCTTCCTGAGAAACCACTCTGAAGATACCACCACGTATTACAGCAGCCATTGATATTTTCCTACTAATCTATTCATAACTGTGTAAAGTTTGTAATGTTCCTATCCTATTTCATAACTGGATGTATGTTTATTATTATGTGTTTCCTACAACAACCATTGAGAATAGTTAATGATTTTTCAATAGGTCACTCATGTATAGCTCTATTTATTTTCTTTAGAAGCCACTTTGAAGATACCAAAGTATAGTACAACAACTCTTGATAATCTCCTACCTCTTTTGTCTGTAACTCACTATTATTTGTCTATTTGTTTTCCTGAGAAACTATTTTGTAGACAATAATATGTAAAATGATAACCATTGATAATTTCCTACCATTTTGTCTGTAATTTGCTAAGTCCCCCCTATTATTATGTTATCCTTCTTTTATTCTTTAAAATAAAAAAAAAAAAAAAAAAAAGAAATGTTAAAGGAAGTACTTCAAGATCAAAGAATCTACAAAAAGCCTACATATTAACAATGGCTGCGGGCCATAACTGAGAATTGTTCACATAATGAATGTCTACTGAAGATATAGCAAAACACAAAAGCAACAACAAACACAAAGGCTACATTCCAGGAATATTCTCAATTTACTAGAAACTATTATGTTGAATACCTGAGTAGGCTACTTTACCTGTTACATACTCCACTTCTGAGTATCAACATTGCATGCAGGGGTTTTTCATACAAGTCTTGATCTTCACAATAATCTCTGAGGATAACTACAATTTCACCATCGCAATTGTCTCAAGGCACAGACATTTGCAACTTTTACAAGAAACATCAAACATGGATGTTAAATGTGTGAATATTAAGACACACAGGATAGTGCTGTGTCAAGACAGTGTTATTCCTACCCGACTGGACACGGCCTCAATCAGAGCATACTCCACAGAAAGCAAGTAAGCTGGGATTTCAACAATAAACAGTATTTCAACAGTGACAAATGCTGAGGTGCATACTATTAACAGTGTAAGAGAAAACAAAACTATTCAACTCCATGTTGTCCACCTTTTTTTGGTGAAAATGAACTTCAAAATAGAAAAGGATGCAAGAAATAAGAGGAAAATAAAAACCAAGAAAGAAAAAGAGTAAACACAAATACTTCTAATGACTTCAACAGGCCCAAGGAAGTCACATCTCAGCAAACCAAAAGACCTTGGAAAAGTGATCATAGAAACACTTCTCATAAAGAACTGCAAATACTGAAAAGGTTCCTACAGACCTGCAAATATTGGCCTAATTGTCACAAAAGGAAGTATTTCTTAATGTAAATCTTGGGGGGAAATTTTATACTAGATGACTACAGACTGTTTGTATGAACTTATGAAAATGGTGAGTATACTAATATGCTGTATCTCCTTCTTGTCCAATGTTATCATCAGTGACTTCAAAATTCCAAATCTGCAGATTAAAAACTGTGAGAATTAACATAAAGATCAAAAATGCACATGATATGAACAACTATAACAATGATAAATGTAAAGCGCAATACTTAAAAGTAAACGATACAGGTATAACTTAGCCCAAAAAGTACAGTTCACGTAGTTAAAAAAAAAAAGAAAAAAAAAAACCTATGGATTTCATTTAGTTCATTATAAAGTCAATAAAAAAGCAACAAAAAGTGGTTTCTAAATGACTGATCCAGAGGAGTCCCAAAATGGTGGGACAGTGAATGCCAGCAACTTAGCTTCTCCAGGACAAAGTGTCTCGAGTCGGAGAAAAAATACCTTGGAAATCAAATTGAGTAGAGGTTACCCAGGAACCATGAGGCAACTGACAGAGGAAAGAAAACACAATTAAGTCATACAGAAGGCACAGATCACACCATGGAGGACAGACTCCACAACGATGCTAACAGTGGCTGGCTAAACACCAGTCTGACAGGCAAACTGAAATTCTAACACCTTCTTTGCTTATAGAGAACCAGAGAACTGCCTTAAGATCTAAAGAACCATCAGCAGTTAGAGACTGAAAGGAAAACATGGGGCACTGCTTCTGGAATGGCCTTCCAGAGTCAAGAGTTGGTAAGTGACCTGAGCATAGGCACCTACAGCCACAATCGCAGAGCAAGAATGGACAGGGATGACATTGTAGGGAAAGGCTCAGTGTTTGAACCTGAGCAGCTGTTTGGCTGCTTTACACTGCCAAGTTCCCAGAGTGGATAAGGCAAAGAATCACAGGAGATAGCCGACAGTTAGAGCAGACGGGGGGGGGGGGGAGGAGTCCTGCTGAGAGGCAGGGCTGCTGAACACAGATCGGTTTGCTATGGTCAAAGGCCGGTCCAGCCTGAGTTACACTGCATTGGAAGCTCACACCGGCTCCATGTTCTCACTGAAGGCAGATCTCTACACCCAGCACAGTTCTGGGGTGCACTGCCCCACTTAGATTTCCAGCATGAACAGAGACATGTCCTGGTTTGAGCTCTGCTCCTTAACCCTATGTGAGGAAAAGAGCGAAGTATCCAAAACTGGAGACTTTTCTTTTATTATTCTTTATTTGATTGCAATATTCTTTCATTTTTAATTTTCATTTTACTTTTTAATTCTTTACTGTTTCTCTCCTTCTGTACATTTTGCACCATAATTTTATTCCACTATTTTACCCTTTTTTCTTTTGTGAGCATGTCTGTGTATGTGTGCTTCTCTTCCTCCTGCCTTTTTTATCCCAATATACTTTACAGAGGCTAAGGCAATTCTTCCTTGTCCCTTTATATCCCTCCTACTTTTATCCATATCTCTTTACCTGAATTCATTCTCCTGTGTCATGGATGCTCAACTTTTCTTTCCTCTCCACCTTTTCATTTGTCTCCCTTTATCTTTTTTCTAATATTTATATCAGTCATAGAATCTTTTCATATTCCCATTTCTCACTCCTAATTATGTACCCAGTTTTTCTTGTTATCCCCTTCAAGTATATAACACACCCTTACAATCACTGGGATCCTTTCCCCCTCCTATTTCCTCCTTCCCATACCACAGAGCAGAGGCCTTAAATTTTTTTTTAAAGAAAGAAACCTTTTTAGAATTTTTTCCTCTTCTCTTCCCTTTTCTGGCATTACCTGGTTTCCAGCCTCTGGGCTTTGGATAAGTGAATCCATAAAATTACTGTTGAATGCTGTTTTTCACTATTAGAGGAGATATAGCAATCATATTAAGTGCACATTAACTGTGGGCCAAGACTTGGGTTGTTATGGCACTTACACTATAACTATGGATTTCCTCTCTAAGCTAGGGAGAAACCCAAAACAGGGTGTCATGGTATGGTACTTCTTAACTAGCCCTCATAATATCACTATAACAGCCTGACTCCGTGGATAATTTCATTCCAGTGAACCTGTCTACCCAATACAGCATCAAACCCATGGAGAAGGACAGCAAGAAGTCCTACTCCAACAACTTAGACTGAATCAGAGTCTGCAAGAATGCTTCCACCATGGCAGAAAGATGTCCTGAATCTGAGTTAACTTCAGTATTGTGGTGTATGGGTCAGAGGAATTACTGGGGTGTGGGCACTCAGACTCTTTGGCAAAGAAGCTATTTGGGGATCACATGTGCAATGTCTCATTTGGAATATTTAATCTATGCTCCTATCGGACATCTTATAGGTTTAAGTTTTTGTATGTTTCTTGATTTATTTACTAATGTGGGGTTATTTTATTTTCTTTCATGTTTTCCTGTGATTATTAGGTTTCTTTTATGGTTCTTGTGATTATTACATAATATTATGTATTTGCTTTCATTGGCTCTGACTTAGTGGGTATCTAAAATTCTCTGCCTTGCATCAGCTTCCTGTGTAGTTTCTTCACATCAAACCCCTGAGATAATATTATTAATATATTTCTTTATTCTTTTTCCAAACATGTAAACTCCTCCCAAACTTTTAAATTCCTCATAGTTAGCTCCCTCATAGTCACTCCTATCTTCTCTATTATTATTCCTCGCTCTCCCCATCCTAAGCTTTTGGCTCTTCCATATCTTACCCTATTTTCCTCCCTATCTGTACATCCTGACAACCACACAGCCTTCCTCAACCACAAAGTAAACCCCTTTTCTCCCATATTAGCCCCCTGACCCCACAAAAGATCCTTTGACAACTCTCAGTAGTAAACCTTCA